GGAGAGGGAGGGAGGGCGAGCAGCGAGCCGAGGGGAAATGGGCGGAGCCGCTCGAGGCCCCGCCCCCCGCTCGAGCAGCCCGCGCCGGCCCCTCCCCCACCCGGCAGCCGCGCGCGCCGCGGGGCGGTGGCGGCTCGCGCCGCCAGTAGTGTCCCCCCCACCCCCCACCTCTCTTCCTCCGCCTCCGCCCGCCAGGACCCGGAACGGTCCCGCGCCCCTCACCGGGATGCCGGACCGGGCCGCCCGCCCGCCCCCCGCGCCCCCGCACTGACCGTCGGGGGGTCCCGCTCGCCCGCGCAGCGGCTCCGCCTCGGCCTCACGCGCGGCGGGCACGCCCCGCCTCGCGCCCCATCCCGCCGCCGCCGCCGCCCGGCGCTCGCAGGGACGGGCGGGGAGCGGCGCGAGCTCACACCACCGCGCACGCGCCGCTGCCTCGCTCCGCGCGGCCGCGAGGGCGGGGGAGGTGGGGTGGGCGGGGCTTGTCTCCCCGCGCGCGGAGCACGACGGGAGTTGTAGTTCTCCCCGGGGACGCTGCCCGCAAGTGCACTACAGGTCGCTGCCGGCTGCCGAACTACAGCTCCCAGCGGCCAGTGCGCCGCGGGGGGGTTCCAGCTCTTCTGCCCCCCATCGCTGTTGAAGTCCCCAAGCCCGCGGGAGCGGGGTCCGGCTGCCTGAGGGGAGCCTGGCGAGATACGTATGTGAAGCTCCCTCAGCAGCCGCCGAGAGCCGGCTGGCAGCAGGTCTATCTCTGGGAACCCAAGGAACGTAAGTGTCCCTGAGCCGTAAGCCGACAGTGGCCAAGAATGCCAGTGATATCCTGGGCTGCAGTAGGAAGAGCGTTGCCAGCAGGTGATCCTGCCCCTCTATTCAGCCCTGGTGAGGCCGCATCTGGAGTGCTGTGTCCAGTTTTGGGCTCCTCGGTACGAGAGAGACATGGAGCTCCTGGAGCAGCTCCAGTGGAGGGCAACAAAGATAAGGGGATGGAGCATCTCTGTTACAAGGGAAGACAGAGAGCTGTTCAGCCTTGAGAAGGGACAACTAGGAGGAGACTTCATCAATGTCTATGAGTATCTGAAGGAGGGAGAATGCCAAGAGGATGAAGCCAGGCTCTTCTCAGTGGTGTTAAGCAATAGGGTAAGAGTCAACAGACAGAAACTAATTCACAGAAAGTTCCGCCTGGATATGTGGAACCAGACCATGCACTGGAACAGATTGCCCAGAGATTGTGGAGTCTTCCTTTATGGAGATACTCACGCACCATCTGGACACAGTACTGTGCAGTGTGCTCTCTCGAGCAGAGAGGTTGGACCAGGTGACTCACTATGGTCACTTCCAGCCTGACCCATTCTGTGATTTTGAGATTCTTTTGGCAGTGATTAAAGATGGGTATGGCCAAATGAGTTGTGAGATTACACTTGTCAGAGTGGAAAGTCAGCAAACACCACAAGGCATCAGTCTCAGTGTGGGAACTGACACAGCCCCACAGGTGGAGGCACTTGGGCCACCTTCCATGTGATGTTACTGCTGACAGATTTCCACGTCCTCAGTTCACATGAGAACAGCCAGTGGCTTCAGCTTCATCCTGCATAACAAACCTGACCTCCTGAGACGAGTTACCCATTCCTCTCTACTTCTTTCTGGAATGCGAGGGAAATGGAGAAACGCTCTGGATGCTGCTTGAGGTGACTTGTGCCAAGGAACACATCCCCATCTCAAGATGCATCCTGTTTACAGTGATGTTATAAGGAATTTTGTGGGGGTTTTTTGCCTCGTACAATGCAAGTTTCTGTTACGTTGAGCACCTGCGTAATTTGAATCCCTTGCAGGATTGCTCATCAACAGGGGAATTTGTTTCAGTCAGAAGCAGGGCCGATTCATTCCCACAGCCTCAAGCATAATCCCCAGCCTATTGGACACATTAATACTGTGGCAGCGTGCCACCTGCTCCATTTATTCACTTGAGACTCAATGCTGCTTAGTCTCTGTCGAATGAGCTCTTTGTGCCACCTCCTGTGGTAATGTAAAAGGTCCCCCACAGGAATTCGTGCTATTCAGTGGCAGCTACAAAAGGGAGGGTTGTAAACACTCCGATTAGTGTTGGAGCAGAGGGATATTGTCTTCACCACGTATTACATAACCTCACAACTCCCAGTCTTCCTCCTCCTCTCCAGAAGAAACAGTGTAACAGCAAGGGTTCACCAGGCTATTTAACTTAACATCGCAGCTAATGTGTTTCTTTTTTTGCTATGTAAAAAGGCCACCTTACTCCTGGCAAAAGAAGAGACAAGGGTTAGTTCTGTAACATCCTGTAGTAATTGGAGATGGTTGCCCATGAAGATCTCCACTTGAAGTGACAGTGGCCAGAGGCTCTCAGCTCTGAAGAATGTGTATTATTAGAGGCCACTGCCAACAAAAGTTCATCCACAATAGGCCCATCAGCTAATGAACCCAAAATGAATCTTCTCCCAGATTTTGAGGACAAACAAGTGATTGTGTGCAGTGCTGACTATACCAATTTACTGCCATGTGAAACACATTTGGATGATTTCTGACTTGCAAAATTCACTGTTGCCTGGGGCAAACTTACACAGACCGAGGCACTTTTCTACACCCTCAGCTTGCTCCCCATTCACTCAGTAAATTCTTACTGCTTTAAACACAAAGTGAAGCAAGGATTCTGAGGTGGCAAGCTCTCTGCTTGGAAAATCAGTCTCGCTGATGTACCTGGGCCAAAAGCCTCTCAGCAAGAGTCTGCCTTCCTCCCCTGGAGAGAATGCCTGTCCTAGGCACTCCTCGTAATGGTTACAATAAGGTTACTCCCAGCATGCCTCCCTGTTTCATGTAAATTGCCTGTACCCCATTGACCCTTCCCCCTTTGTACCTCCCCTGAGCCCTCAGATGATTCGTTTGCTGCTCTACCCCGACCCCTCGCTCTCCTGTATCAACCCTGCTCCCTCAGACCCCTTGAGCCAGTTAGTCCCTGGACTCCTTCAAGAAAAGAAGAATAAAGCTTTGCCTTGGATCACCACACGTGGCTCTCGTCTCTTTCCTCCTGCGCTGGCCAAGGTGGAGAGCTCCCAAAAGAGCTGAAGTCACTCTCCGCCCCGGAGCAAGCACGGAGGACGTGCCTATGCCCAGAGGACATTCCCAGGACGCTTCTCTAGAAGGTCGCAGCACTCCACCACCACCCCAGGGCCCGCTGTGACATACCTGAGCTTTATAAAAGTAATAAAATAATAATGTAGGGGAGATTCAGAATGCATTTGGTCAGGGAAAGAAAAGGGAAAAGGCATAGCTGTGTTAATGAATAATTACTTCCTCCTCCTACTACTTCAAAGAAAGCCAGTTCTGGAGTTGAGCTTGTCTTGGAAAGATGGGAGCCTACATGGGCTGTACCATTCTGGGATAACTTTAGATATGCTGTGCAATTCTCCTTAGCAATAAAGGAATACACAGCAGACATAAAAAGATTTAGCTTAGGAAAGAAACTAGTTGGCCACATACTGAAACAAACAGGTGAAACAATGAGAGCCTGAAGATATAACAGGAAAACCTAGAAGTAGTAAATTAGTTAGTGCCTTTGGGGGAGAAAGTATGTTGTTCACAGAAATTACCACAGAGCAGGAGAACAGAGCCAAAAAAGGTGTATGATGCTGAATTCTGCCTAAGCAATTCCTCTGAGCAGTATTATGGAGCCATAGGATCACAGAATGGTTTGGGATGGAAGGGCCCTTAAGACCATCTATTTCCAAGCCCTCTGCCCTGGGCAGGAACATCTTCCCCTAGAGCAGGTTGCTCAAAGCCAAATAATTCCAAGTTCTCTGCAGTAGGAAGAAAATTTATAAATACTTAAGCAATTAAAAGGATATAAGAAAACTTGAACCTTGGCCACCCTTACATCCTAGATGTATTTGTCTGAATGAGGTTTGCTCTGTTTCTAGGAAGATTTTGTATCATAAGTGTGTTTTCCCATATAAGTAGCACAAATTTTAATGATGTACTGGTGATTTGGTGAAAGTTGTGTCAAGGGAATGTGTCAAATCTTGGTAAAGGTGTTCCTTTTGCCAAGCCCAACAGATATTACCATCTAACAGGAAAATGTGAGGTTGCTGTTTGGCTGTGCTCTGCAGGTGCCTCATCAGCATGGTCTGTCCTCTCTTCTCATTAAACTCCTCCCAAGCTCCGAGTCTCCAGGCTTTGCCCATGCAGGTGTAAGTGCCAGCTGTGGGACAGGGCACCATAGGTCACAGAGCTGGAGAGACCAGAGAGCATCCGTGTTGGGTGGGTCTGTGTGTCACTGTGCAATCACCAGCAAACTTCAAGTCACTCCAACCAGTAGGATGAGGGGCTTGGGAGCCAGGTATCAGAAATGCCATAATTTTGGGAGGGACACTGGAATGACCATAGATATATTATTAAAGATACAAGCAGGTGTTCTTATATTTACTTTTTAGGAATTAGAGTGTGAAATCCATTAAGCATACTAAAAGCAAGCCAGGAACCATAAGAAATGACAGGAAAGCAATGTCACATTATGACTGTTGTACTCATGTGCGTGTAAGGAAAAACAAACAAAAAAACCCCAACCAAACAAAACAAACCCAAACCCCAAAGCAACTGAACAAAACCTTTTTTTACTTTTAAAGAAAGAATAACAAAAAGCCTCCCCACCCCTTTTCAGTCAGACCCCCAACACACTAGGGATTTGCATATTTGCTTCCCTTTACCTTCAGTGATTTACAATTCCAAAGGACAGTGATAAAAGTGGCCAATGCTTTACCTGGAGAACATTCCTAAAGAAAAGAAGTTTTCAGAAAGAACATTCTGAGTACTAATCATTTATGTACAGAAAAGTAATTCAAAGCAACACGTTTAGGTATGGAAAAAACCCTGCTGGAGAGTTAATTCTCTGTATTATTCTACCCATCTAGATCAGTAATCTCTATAGTATGTTTTCTGGTAACATTTCCCTGAGAAACTCTTGAGAAAGAAAACACGGGAACCAGTAATGTCTTTTTATTAAAATACCTTTTAAAACACTCATCATCATAAAATACACTGGGTGTTGCTGCATGACATTTGTGTACACACAACACTTTCAGCAAACTCTAGACAGCATCAAGGAATTACAAAAAGTAAGGCAAGTCCCAGAAGGTGTGCACTACCTTCTCTCAGGCCACTGCAAACAACTGCGTTTACATTTTTATGCCATTCCCCACAGCATTTCCTGGACACCTGTTGGGCTGCTCCCCCATCCCTCCCACCCCTCCTTGATTTGACATCACAGTGAAATTCTGAGGATGTAAATGGAGACAGTGTCACAGATCCATGGGGCAGCAGGTGCCTGACCAGAAACATCAGCCCTGTTCCCCCCACAAGAAGATTCTGAGCTACCCTCATATTTCCAGTAATTTAAGACTGCAAAAATCCAAAGGACGCTAGTGACCTCCTGCTTGATTGATTGCTACGTGTCTCCTGTCTTGGTCAGGAACGTTGATGCATCACCCTCCAGCTACAAACAGTCACAGCTACTCTAACATATTGTTCCCCTCCATTCATTTTAAGAAATTCTAGCAGAAGAAAATATAATGTGAATTGTAAAATATAGGAAGAACAACTCCTCCATTATGACCTAAGTTTTTCTATTCTTGTCTATGATCTTTTATCACTTAACTGTAAGTTGAAAGTATGAAGACATTCCATTATCCACTAGTTCAAAATAATAACATTCATCTTTCAAGTACACTTTTATAGCTGAAAAAGACACTGAAGAAAGTAGCATTATTTAACAAGAGTAGATTTTTCTTTTATTATTATAATTATTATTATTATTCCATCTTATTGAAAGAACTGTATCATGAGAAAAAAAATTGAAAGAAACATTCAGGTAATTTTTTCAACAAAATAAATGTAATATGACTGCTTTCATTTGTACATGGTACAGATAGGTGTAACTAGAAAACAGTTTAATCCCTCTAGACTGAGGAGTTTCAAGGAGTTAAAACCCACATTATTATAAATACAAAAAGCTGATCATTAACTACTCATACACTTTATTCTTGTACTTAGTACCATTATCTGTGGAGCCCTTAAATGGGTCATAGTAACTGCTATGTAACTGTCAACATATAAAAACTCTTACTTAGAAAAATGGACAATGTTCTAAACTCAAAACACTTTAACTTTGCCTTTGCAGACACATATTCCCTTCTTCATTGATAAAAATTTATGGGGGGGAAAAAGAAATTTAATAATAATAAAAATGTTTGGAATAAATATTCACAGGAAATTACTAAATGGGAACATGCTTGCTGCCAGCTGCTCAGCTGGTAGATCTGTACCGCTTGCTTGTTCCTGTCATTTCATTCTTTATTCCTTTAGTCATTAAATGCATCATAGCCTTTCATGTTTCCTCTACTGGACTATATGTACAGAGTGTAATAACCCTAGAGAACAGTGCAAAAGCTGGGAAATGCAACTGCACTTAACAGCTTTATTTTGGGATCTAAGAGAAGACTGAAAAGATTATTCTGTGTAATACATGAATTATGCTTCATAGGCCCAACGAAAAGAGAGCAGGACAAACTTGGAGGAAAAGTGTCCCATTCATGGTGTTTTGTTGGGCAGCCCTTCTAAGAAGTTAGGATTTTATCCATGACAGCCCATACTTTGAACTTGAAGAGAAAGCATGAATTTTAATTTTTCTCCAAGTACCACTTCACAATAAAAAGCTAACCTCAAAAATTGGAAGGTAATAAAGTTATAAACAAAACCCCAGAAACCAAATCCCAAAAACCCAGCTCCTAAACAACATCCACCCTCCCTCCAACCTAGCAGCCATTTATTTATTTGTTGAATTTAGATAATGGAAATCTCATTACCATATTCTAAAGGTTTCCCTACTCTAAACTACAAGATAAAGTACTATGTTCTGAAAACCAGTATAGCCAATACTTTCAAATCCAAGGAAAACAATCAGAACAGCAATGAGCATGACTGTACCATTTGAGCAGAAATAAAGAAAAATAAGTTTAAAACATAGTGTTTAAACATCTAATAGTTAGCTTCACTTATATGAATTATAAAAAAAAAAGAAAAAAAGGAAAAAAAAGTTCTCTGATTTTATACATCCTCTTTTCAACCAGGTAAATTTAATTGCAACCAGCAGGCACTCCACCAAAATGCAGTATTTGCAATCCCAGTCTCTTTAACCGAGAGAGATTACTTTGGCCTCAGTATTGCTATATTACAATTTTCCTGCTTCAGAACATGCAGTTCATACATTTGACAGTTTTACTGCCGTAGTCGATGCATTCTGGCCCGATACACTCGCAGCAGGCGTTGTGAAACCATCGGTATTTGGAAGCTCCCATGGACTCGCAAGAGATCTTGCACTGATGTATTGACATGCAGTCATCAAAATACACCACAGTACACATGTGTTCTAAACCAAGAGGGGGGAAAAATTGGTTTAAAAGGTCTTAAAGTGTTAGTTAGAAATTAATTAAATGAGCAGCTTTAGAAGTATGATTGCAAACCGACAGGACTCTGAGGCACAAGAAAAAAAGGTGACAGTAAAAGCAGAGAGGCAAGGCAGAGAGATAAGGTAAAATCTATCAACTTCACATTTTCAGCATCTACAACTCAACCTGTTGTCTGATCTTCTTATTTAATTTACTTCTATATTCACAGGCAAGAATATTTTTGAGTTTTGTCCCCCAGTTATGAGAGTGTAAGGATGAGCTATGCCAAAATTACAAGCAGGAATGTGTCCTCTGAAGGTAATATACTACCACAAAAAACTTCAGCTTTGGAGAAGTTATTTAAAAAAAAAATCAAAACCCACTTATTTGGATATAAATGTTTCTTTCTTCCCCACTCCCCCAAACTCCACAATAATCTTCAGCCAGACCTAGAGAATCTTTTTTTCATCAGCACAAAAATACACACTTTTTTCTTCCTTTTTTAAACAATCCCCAGCTTTATTACTAATGTTAAGAAACCCCTTCTGCCTAAGTGTTGACTTTGTGCTTCTAACATCCATGCAATTACTTGAAATGCCATGAAGTTTAGTGTTGCAACATCAAAATGGAGCTAAGGCATTCACCACAACCATAAAGTAAAACAAAACTATCCCCCCACTTCAGTCCACTTCCAATTCTCCAAGCTGGCAGATTCCACCATCTTTCTTCTGTACTGACCAGGTGATGATACTATAAAACTTTGTTCATCCTCCAAAGGACCATAATTACATAACATTTACTCAGAGCATAACTTGGCACACTTTGGGGAAATCACAACTGGCAGCTGTCTGCAAACAGGAATGTCTCTCTCACGCACATCAGACCAACTTGTGAGAAGGAGATGTCAAAGGGCTTTCTATAGAGCCAATTACTACTCATGGTGCACCTAGGAGAAACCCACTGGTCTACATTCCAATGTGGATTAGAAAAAAGTAATCCAAATTTAAATAGTAAATCAAAACAGTGGGTTTGGTTTTTTTAAATGACCGATTTTGATCATTGTCAAATTATTTTGCTACTACCAAAACAACTGCAAGAAGGTCAGAGGATGTGCTGCCAGCTCACTGAAAGCAACAGAGTATTCACTGCATTGGTCAGGCTCCAAACTGATGTACACGCCTTGCAGACACCATATACGGTGCAACAGGCAATAGGGATCTTGGGGAGGAGAGGCAGACCCAGAGCTGAAACAGTTTCTGCTCCCAGAAAAGCTGTGCTGCAAGTAAAGCTGCTATTGTCCAAGAAAACTTGCAGTACCTCAAGTACTGCTGGGAACATCAACGAAGTGCATAAGGCTGTGTAAGACTTGTCCCATTCTTGGTACTTCTATTTCTATAAGCCCTTATATCCTGAGACACAGCAACCAGAGGAATAGAGTTCTCAGAGAACAAAACCTGAAAACAACCAAAACATCTACAGCTTCAGTAAGGATGCTTGATTCACAGAGACAAAGAGGAAAGAGCTCAACAGAAGTGTATGCTATGGTGCCGTGTGCAAAGAGTGATAGGTATACACCTAAAGTGCTCAGCCAAAAAGTAGTAGGGAGATGCAGCCACCAGAGCCTCAAAAGCAAGAAGGCATTCAGAGGCCAGACAGCACCTCCAACTTTTATGGGGAAGAATGCACAAGGACTTGGCAACATTTGATCACCAGTGACAAAAAGCTCAGATTGCCATAGTCCCAAGAAGAAGCATACACCATTCATTCCCAGAAGGCCAAGATAGTCCCAGGTATCTGTTCCCTTCACTGCTCACAGGAAGTTTTTAGTGGAAGGTAGGGAGGAGAAAGTAGAAGCAAGTCTCCAGGCAGTATTCTCATGTCCCATCAGTCATCCAATTCAGTGCTAGAGCTCAAGCACAAGAACCTTAGAGAAGCCTCTGTTGCACATTACTCATACTCTTTATATCCTTTTGCTTAATCTCTATTCAGTCCTTTGATACCCTTTTACTAATTTGCTATTGAAGTATTATTATGTTAAGTTTGATCTTAAATCCCACACATAGTCTTAGAAGGTGTCAGCTGGAGGCACAGAGCCTCTGCATCAAAACAGGCAATCCTGGCTAATCTAGAAAGATTTCTTCCTGCAAAACCACCTTTTGGGAAGCCATCTCCAGCCGACTGACTTAGTCTCTGGCTAAGCCTGAGAAGGCAAAATGATTCATGGCTATCTCCAGACTGGAGTGAAACATCTGTTTAAAGGAAGCAGCCATGCAAGGGGTTGCCAGAACTGCTCACTAACTGCTGATAATGACACTCCAACTTACAACACACAAAGGAAAGCCTAAGGTAGGTCAGGGAAGTTGACAGGAAAGCTGTTCACACTCTGAGGTGTGCTAACTGCTCCCAGCACTTACAGACTGTCTTCACACCAGAGAATGTCCAGTCCCTTCTGCGTAAGGAGATATCTGTGCTCACCTTCATGTTAACCTCCTCTCTAACAGCCTCAGCAGTGTTAGTACTGCTTCACAAGTCCTGGTGAAGCCCCCAGTTCGTCAGCTAATGCATGCAGAAATTAAACTAACTTCCTTGGAGAAGGAGAGCTTATAATTTCTAGGAGGTAAAGATGGATTACACTGGACAGGGAGACATCTCTTCCAGTAAAGGAGGCCAGAGGAGCAGCAGCACCTGGCCTGTAACTCTGGCAAAACTAGGTGGCATCAGTACAAAAATGGTGGAAAGGGGAGAGAGAGCAGACTGCATGTGGCAGGCCAGAGCCAGCAGTAGATCCATCTGGTCCCAAGTAGCTCTTGTAAGCAGCTGGAGAACATGCTCCATGTAGATGTTACCAAATTGTTTCCGATGTCTCACTCAGTGAAAGACTTGCTAGGTCTGAACAAGTCAGATTGTCCAGGGTGCACTTTGTTTGTCACAGGGCACTCCTGGTCCCTTCCTCAGCAATGCCTCTGTGCTCATGTAGAGGTTGAATTACTGAAAGCAGGAGAGTTCCTTCCTCCCCACAAGCACTAAATCCTGCTCTATAGACTGCAGGAAGAGAGTTACACAGGGGAAAAAAATACATACCTACAGGCTCAGCTGGGATCTGAGAGAGTACTTAAACTGTTTCACAAACCTAATTACAGAGTCATCACTTGGCTCCCTCAGTGTAGATAAAAAAATATTACTTAGTGCAGTAACAGCTTTCTCATTTGCATTTTGACAATTTTCACACACTAAGGACCACAGACTGCAGATGCAGGGAGAGAGAAGGATGTAGCAGTAAACTTTTTTCCTGGAACACTAATTTCTCACCTTTTTCCCCCTCACATTTCATACTCAGTGAAGGTTGTTAGAAGAAACAACAACCAAGTCTAAATTTAAAATGAACAGAAGAAACTACCAGACTTTGCTACAAAACTATCCGTATTGGTGTAATATAGAATTTAGCAACTCAGAGAACTTTCCCAGTTAATGATAATTTGCTGTATGGGATCTTTGAAGTTAAATGTGATACGTAACTTCAGCAGTCTGCTGCTAAGTTTATTGGTAGCTCTAAAAGTTCTTTAAAAAGGTCACTGTTCATCCAGCAGTCATATCATTTTATCATAGAACGGCCTGGGTTGGAAGGGACCTCAAAGATCATCTAGTTCCAACTCCCCTTCTGTTGGCAGGGATACACCTTGCACTTGAAAAAACACTACTCTAGTGCAGTAGTGACAGGAGGGGAAAACAAGAACAAGGAGATCAACCCGCAACTGACTATGAACAATCAACTTACATAATCTGCTACTTTTGGACAAGTCAATTTTATGTCAATCAATTTATAAAAAGAAATGTTAAAAAAAATCTTCCTAGACTAGCTACAGAGGTAGATGTCTTTTCAGTGGAAGTCTAGCTCTCCTCTCCCTGTTGCATTGGAGGGGAGCAGAATTGCAGAGCAGACACCATCCCCTGTGTCACCAAACAGTGTAAGTCAGAAACCCTTAACTACAACATAGATTTTGTTTTATCAATTGCCAAAAAATTATCTAGCTCCCCTCTCCCTCTCTCCAACATCCTGTCATCATCTGAAACTAAGCTTATTTAAACCTCTGAACTCACAGTTCAGAGCTCTGAGGGTATCAGCTAGAAGTAAAGCAAAGAGAATGAAGTACAAATGTAGGTCCAGATTAATAACCATCACAATCCTTTCTGAAGTGGAGGCTCAAGTGCCAGAAACAACTGATACAAAGAACTACAGCAGCTCCAGCAGCGCATGCATAACTTTGGCAGCTAAACCATTACAAGTCAGTTCACAGGAGGAAAGGGAAGACACTCATTAGGAAAATAACGGGGAAGTTCAAGGTCTGGCGGCTGAGTTCAGAGTAGGCTGGGGTGAGAAAGGAATGCTTTATATCCCACCGCACCCCACCTCCTCCCGGATCCGCAGCCGCCCTCCCTGGCGGTGGCTCCACGCCACTCAGGCACAAAGCTCATGCTTCCTGTGGCTGGTGCTGCTTTTCCTGGCACTCACCCAGAACTGCATCAAGCAAGTCTGGCACCCTGGGCCAGCATAACGGTGATCCCTGCGAGAATGTGCAGTAAAACTAAAATCAGAGCCTTTCTAAATTTTGGAATGTATTCCAGAAGACAGCACAGGGACCATTGCCCTCTACAACATCTACCTCTCATTAATCCCTCTCCCTTTACAGGCCATGCCATCGGTTGCTGCCAGCACACCATGTTGCAGGGAAACATGCAAGGAACCACAGAAGAACCACAAAATGGAGGAGGCACAGCACTGCAAAGAAAACATAAGGCATCTGTGCTTCTGCTCACATGAGTATTCTTCCAAATCCCTGATTGTCACAGTCTCGAAGACAACTACTTAGCAAGTCACCTTAAGGGTATCTCCACTTGTAAGACCTGCCCTCAAGCCTAGCAGCATTTTTGGGGAGTAGGAAAGGGTAAAGACATGGTCACAGACCCTCCCTCTCTTACAGTGGCTCTAACACTTGCCAGCTTATTAAAGCAGTGTCCTGATTGTGTGACTGACCTCTACATGACATGTACTCTACTGATGGCAGAAGCCATCAGGAACTTCCTTAGCTACCTCGCTGTGCCCATGCTCACAAGGCTCTTCAGTCCCAACTTATTACCCCTCCAGCTTTTGACTGTGGCTTTCCCAATGAACTCAGCAAAACAGTATTAGAAACAATGCTACCTATGGCACACACAACATCCAACAATATTCCCCAGCTGTCCTGCTTCCACCATAATAAACATCAACTGACCAAGGCCAGATGCTAATTTTTCTTTCCACCTCCTCTGTTCTCAATGCTCAAATCATCAATGTTTTCATAAGCAAAATTTAATATGACTTTTGAGAAAGTAGAGCACTGCAAAATTATCTACACTGTGACACAGAGAAAAGAGACTATTCAGCAGGCTTACGTATTTAGATACTTGAAAGTATAAGAATAGGATGTGGAAAGTAATTTTCTATCTTTTCCAGTTCTTCACTGGTCACTGAGATGGAGAAGGCATAGCCAGTGATTACAAGAACAGCTCTGACATTTATTTCTGTTTTAAGTGTCTGCTGAGGCCTGAAAGCCAGTGGCATTTGGTAACTATTTCCAAATAAAACTGTTGTTTTTGGACAGTCATCATTCCAGTAAGAGCTCTCTCAACCTAATCTCTAATATGTTCCTAGTAAAAAGAAATGAAGGAGACTTTTGACTAAGAAAAAATGGCAGTGTTATGTATTTGTCTGTGTTGTTGAACTCAAAACTGTTCCACACCCTTGAAATGCAATTCAAATTCCAAGTTTAATCCAAAACTATCATTAGCCCATCCTGTTGGTAGTAAAGGACTGTCAGGGAACAGCCATCTGGGTTGCAGTACCTAAGTACAGTGGGATATATTCAAGGCTGTACTAAACATATTTTTTTTCCCTGACTTTAATTTATAACTGTAAGTACTGTTGTCTTTGCACACAGGGCTTTTTGTGGCTTTCCATTTTACATGGCTTTGTACATTATTCTCATAACAGCAAGCAAGCATTTTAATAACATCAAAGACATATGAATGAGATGCTTTCTGCCCATCTGGTTTCCTAGTTCTGGAATTAATTTATTTTTCTAATGTGCCTTAGCCAAAGGAAATTAGAAAAGTTGCCATTACTGTTCCATTTAATCAGCAGCAGTCCTACTCAGAAACACAACTAGGTCAATGGTTCACACTGCTATGGAAAAGCAGCGTGTCCATCAATTAGGGTATCTTTTATTGATAAGATAAAAGGGCCATCACAACAGCAACATATGGGGTTACCAATATTTAAAGTGTATGTTGGGAGGAAAGCAAAGCATTAATTGCACTAATAAAATAAATCAGATGCTCTTTTTCCCCTATTAAGCAGCAATTTCACGACAAACTGTTTATGAGATTTTTAAAGTCTGACGTAATGATTTGTAGGGAAAACTGTTTCAGGTTTAGTATGGAAATATTTTTTTATACCACTATTAACATTACCTCCAACTTTTCATCCTCCCCCCACAGCTAACAGTATTCTGAAGTCTCTCCTCTAAACTGGAGGTAAGAATATAAAGAATTTCATATAAAATAGGAGGAATGAATCTGTAACTTGAACCCCTACCACCAAGTTATTTATTTTGAGGACAGCCTGTCACATATCTTTCCTTCCTCAATCCTTCTAATCTTGCTTAGGTTTACTATTAATCCTGGATTTCATGCAAAATATCCCTATAAAGATTGCAAGTTATGCCAGCACAGATGAAAGAAATAAACAACTGTCCCAGATATAAGTGCTTACGGCACATGTTTTTTTTCTCAGATCTCTTAAGCCATGTTGCAGTTGCCTACCTCTGCAGGGATACATGATTTGGATTCAGTTTCTGGTCTATCCTGTCTCCTAAGCTACAGGTAACTGTTTCTAGGTGAGAGAGCACACCAGTGCACATGAAACAACATGAACAAACTGCCTCATGCCACAGGAGTAATTATGGAGATAAACTCACGTGGTTCAGTGTCTCCTAAGAGCATCAGTCATTTAAACACTATCTTCCATGCTTCTCAACACCTTTGCCTCACTCCTTCTGTTATGTCATGCTCAAAATTAGGCTGAATCTTTCACACATTCTTAAGGGAAAAGAAGAAGCGAGCACAGAGAAGCATAGGATATGCACCAAGAATGTTCCTGGAAGAGACAAGAGGAAATGCTAGAGATTTAGACACTATACTCATTACCTTTGTCACTAGAGTAAGGTGTGTGGACATTGTTGTTTGGAACAGAGACGTTCTGATGCTGTGGCTGGTTCACTGTTTCTAAAAAGGAGACGAGGTTCTCATGGTGTGACAGTTCTTCTGCCACAGGGAAGGAAACAATATTCCAGTTCAGCTGAGTGTCCCCTTCTGTCAGTGCCCGGAAAAGGGAAGGAATTGGTTCATGCAACTCCTCGACAGTGCTCTTGGATGTTGGAGGTGTGTCACTGTAATTGCGAGGATTACACATACCTGTAGAGGAAGGAAACAGAAAATTATACAGAACTCCCTAAGCTCTTCTTCTTGAAACAGGCAGGAATATTTAGAGAATTAAAATTGCTTCTTTTTTTGCTGAAAAGAATAGAACTCTTTCATATTTATCCCACTCTCAGCCCAATGGCAGAAGTGCTATCAAATATAGCAGGACAAGCTTTCAGTAACAGCAGGTTTCGCATTGCTCAGACTTCTACAAAACACACCTGTGACTTGTGAAAAGAAAAACCTCATCTAAAAAAGCACTTTGCTGCCCTTTCAGTGTTAGCATTACAGCTTAGAAAATGAAAGGTTCAGTGGAAGGCTTGTTTTCCCTGGGAGAAGAGACAAAGAAAGCACAGTATAATCAATATGAACATAAACCTGGAATGCAAGGATAGGACTGAACAAAGGGAGTGTCTTGGTAAGTCTGAGGTACGTGAAACTTTTGATCACAATTCAAGTATTCCATCTCAACTGGTGCAGCAGTGCACTAGATCTTTTTAGTCATCTGCCAGAAATCCAAAGATCATTATCAGGACAGAGCATGAGTCTGAATTACTTTACTTGTGTAGAGACAGCCAAGATGAACCTCATTTTGCTACTTAGCTGGAGGGGACACAACAGGCAAAATCCTAATTTCTAGGTTAGCTCTTCCTTATTTTTCAACATCTTCTGTAGTATCTTTTTTCATTTTGCCAATGGCTACAAAATGATTTTGTGATATGCAATGCCGGTGTCAGTTTTTCGTTAACCATTTAAAAACACTAACATTTATTACTAGCAATGAAACCGAAGGGCATCTCAATTTAAGTCCAATCCATGGAAACTACCAAGATTAAAAAGAAAATTTGTATCTGCATAGGCATTTTAAACTCAGGAGCCATAAAACACACTTAGAAGTCACCTGTCAAGAGACAGGCAAATCCATTTTCCTCATGTACATCTGGATATAATTTTGGGTAGTTTCACAAACACAGGTTTAGACAGCTACAGCTGCAAAGCATACCAATTCCTGAAGTATAAAAGCGATTTGAGACATGAATGTTCAAAGTCCACGTGCCTCACACAACCAGAGAAGTATCTCCTGCCCCATAGATCCACTAGCACTTCAGCTTCACAAATAATTGTGTTTAACTAGAGCCTTATACAAACCCATAATCTTCTCAACCTAAGTAGATGGATTTCCACAGTGAACAAAGCAGAGGGAAGTTTGTCCATAGCGATTAGCATAAGATCTAGCAAATCTTAAGCAAGTGGTTAGCATTACCAGCATTTGGTAATAGGAATGCTCCACGACAGTCTGCTCCTATGAAAAGGTGAGCCAAGTACAGAGTAGGAAAAAAAGATAAGCCTCTTTTCCAAACAACATCAGGTCATACTAAAAAATAATTCCACTTACACAAACATCCTACTGTAAATGATTGTTTTCCCACTTCTCTCAATTAGGTTTGTTCTTCACGGACCTTTCTAGACTCACTGCTTTATTAAAAAAATTCTATCTCTTTTTTACTACATTTCAATAAGCACTAGTATTAACAATACTTTAACAAGCACTGTATGAACCATACAATTGGAATAAGGGATGACCACATGAAAATCAGCTGGGAAGATATCAAACCAGGAAAGAGTTTTGTACAGATACATCAAGGGATATATGCTTTAGCTGATGTCCTTGTATTAATGTTGTGAAATAGAAACCAGTGGGCCTTTAACGGGTAAATTCTCATCCACAAAGATCCTTCACTCTTACTCTTTTTAAAAGCATTTGAATTATAATAATATTTTTATATAGTAAATATTATAAAATAACAGCTTTGGTTCAAAAGAAAATTTAAAAGTTTAACTTATGAGCAACCTGTAAGGATCAAACATGTCTACTGCTTGGGAATGGATGAGAAGATGCAGAAATGGGCTATTAAAATGATGGAAGCAGACAAGCCTTTACACAAGTGACTAGAAGAGCTTAACTCAAGGCAATGGGGGCTTGTTGCTGCTCTCTCTCCTCCAGCACGTTTTTCCCTGTCAGAGAAGGGAGGACATACACAAAACATGGCACCAGTAAAGTTAGTGGTGGAGGACAGGAGGTAATTCCTGACCTCAAGGCAGACATGATATGTAAGACACAACAATCTACCTGCTTTTACATTAGACATGATCAGCTTATAAACTTAAATATCAGCTCAGGTATCAGCAAAGAACTCCATCTAGGGAGTCAGGCATGGCATGTATTCCTGTTTCCTCATTTGAATAAAGCTACAGCAAGGATGACCCTACATTGAAGAGAAGAAGAATAGGACCATGCCATAGAATCCAAAAAGGCCTGAGGCACCCAAAGGACCATCAGGAGAAGTTTTAGTTTGCTCAATACTGGGAAACTGAACCTGAAACCTTGTTAACTCCTCTCCTGGAAAGCACTATGGGAAAGAGCTGCAGAACAGTGAGTCAGCTGCAGATTTATGAAAAGAAGCTCATGTGTGGACTTCACAATCCCAAGAGGTGGTTCTTCCTCTCCCAAGAGATCAGTACACTATACCTTGCTTTCTAAACTAGGGAAATAACCTGCACTGAAAATGGGCATTTTGAAACTAATCACCTCCATGAATTCAGAGAAAACTGACCTAGAAAAGCTGAAACCAGGTACAGCACCCAAGATGCATCCCTTTATGGAAGCCAGGATTTGGGATGGCAGCACAGGGAGACTTACAAAAACCACAGGAAAACGAAGCTTTTGTTACATATAAAACAAGAAACAGAATTAGGTTGCAACCTCCTTAAGCAGGTTCAGCTTACAGCACTGACATGCAAAGATCTGGGCCCTCTGAACACCACCTGTCAGCAGCAATGTGTTCTTTTTAAGACTGTCATCTAGTCCTACAGTAAGACCTTGTCTGCTTCTTTCTTACCCTTCACAAAGAGCTCTTTTTGTAAATAAAAGAGCAGTGGAAACACTGGGCCACGCATATTTACCAGTAGTCCCAACTCAATCCTAAAGGTGTCCCAGTGCTGTACCTGTCAATGCACCCTTTACAGGCAGAAACCTTCACACAGCATCCAACCCCACAAAGCAGGCACTGTGCAGTTTCCTCAAGATGACAATTCAAACAGGAGTTTTGTGTTTGAAGGACAAAATTAATAACCAGCTATGATGACATTTAACAAGCAATACCTGGACTACTGCCACCCCCAGCTCCATAGAGCAGACACAGCCTTCAGATGTTTGGGTCTCCACAGTAATTTATTCCATACCCACACAACGAAGCTGTAAGATGCTTAAAGCACAGATTCTGTCCCAGTGTTTTACTTCTATTTTAAGACTGTGAGCTCAGCATGTGGCAGGAGAAAGCAATGTAAAAAAAGCAGGAAGTCCCCCCCCAAAATGCAAACTTACCAACACAGTCACAGCACTCATCCCAAAGTGTGCCCAGGCAGAGCATACACTCCTTACAGCAGGAACAGTTCCCTTCCCCAGGGCGGCACTGACACAGCTCCTGGAATCAACAGACACTCATTACACTGCAGCAATCCCAGATGTAAAATAACTACACAGCAGAGTGATTTTTCCTCAAGCCACAACTCAAATTAGGGCATTAAAAAAGCTTAGTACACTTATACAGTGAGTAAACGGTGAAACAACTCCAGCCAAAAACTGATCCAAGTTTACAAAAGGATCTTATGCAAGTTTGCTTTTTTTCCTTAAAGGTGACATTCTGAAGAGAAATTTGAAGCACGCATTTAAAAGACAAAAAATTCTATTCATGGGAAAGGTGTGTGCACTTCTGTGCATGTGCATGCCTAAATCTACAAGTTCTTTTAATGTTTTTCCCATCACAACAGGAAACTTGGAGAAGGATGCTTCCTTATATAGAAATAGTGACCGTACATTATAATTTAGCTAAAAAAGAAAGCTACTAAAAGCCACATGTGCCCACTCAAGACGTGCATGATGTCTGCCATCACACCTATCCCTGCATTCTAAGAGGAATTTACCCATTTAAGTCCTCTGACCGCAGGATTTTCTGCATCTCCAAACACTTGTTACACATTGCTCTCTGTTTGCAACATTAGTGACCAGATTCCCACCCCCCACCCGCCCCAGGTCCAGATGATTCATTTTTGCTATTATGAAAACAACCCTACGTTTCGTCCCTCCAAACTGACACCTTGGGATGCCTACAAGATTTCTATACACGTATTTTTCTTTAACCATTAATAACTGAAAAAGATAGAAAAGGTGTGGAAGCATAAAGACAAATATTTCTCTTCGTACTACCTAAACTAAAAGCACTGGTTTAGCAGTCCTGCTGGAGACACACACTTGTGGACCTCAAAGCATGGAAAAAGCCTACATGGATGAAGAAAATCTAAAAACCAGGCAGTCTCCTTCCCTCTAACTCAAATCCATACTAGTAATTCCGGTTTGGCCAAAAGACTGTGGCTACATGACAATAATTCACAGCCTTGAATTACATCATAGCACAAAAAACAGACAAGCCAAGAAGTCCCTTTGGTCGTCCTGTCTAAGAATTTGGTTTTGATGACGTCTGTCTAACTATCACATTACACACAACTGGGGAGAAAACAAAATCCTGTTACTGGAAACACTGACCACTGGATCTTTCCACCCCTGGCAAATCCATTACACACCAGCCCAGGGAGAAGATGATGCCCATCCCATCTCTTTGATCCCATTATCCAGAGGCAGAGGGGGGACACACTGCAGGAGATGCTCATGGACAGGAGAGAAAGGCAGGAAGGTGGTTTGGTTTGAAATTCTCCTATCCTGGAGTCTCCACCCATGGTTCCACCCCAGCTGGGTCAGGGGCACCTTTCCAATGTCACCTGCAAAGTGGCATTTCTTTCTGAAGCACCTTGGGAAGAAGCTCACGAGGCAAAATTCCCCTTCTTAAATAATTCTTTGCTTGCTATTGTCAAGAAGCATAAGGTAGGGGAGACGGGAGGCATTTTTAAACCAAATGTTGGGAGCACGTTTGCAAGGCAAGGCAAGGTACAGTTTTGCACCTGATCCCATATGACCCCTGTTCTCTCTTTACTCTGCAAAAGTGGCAACTGCAAATATCCACAGCCTGCTGAGCTGCACAGTGGCCACCCCTCGCTCACACCAACTCATGTGGGCACACAGAAGACCAAGGAGTGCACTTCAGAGGCGGGGCCAGAGCAAAGCCTGTCTGGGGACAGGCCTCCAGGAGCTGCAAGGCTCCCAGGTCCGGACTAACACTGAACAAGCCCTAGAATGTGCTGCAGACAAGCTACAATGTACTAATGCAGTATAAATCCACTGAATCCTTATTTTTCCATTCACTTCATCCCAGATGACAAGTCCTCTTGAATCCAGCAAAGAAACAAAATTCACCAACTATTGCTTGTGATACATAACGCTGAGAAATGCTGTGGCCTGCAGAGTTTATTGTGACCTGTTTGCCCCACTGTCTGATTGAGAATGAACACCTGCTCCACACACACTTCTGAAATAGGCAGCCCTTGTAAGTATTGAATTTTTACTTACAGAGTGGAAAACTACTCAGGTTTATTACTTTCTCATCCTCAAAATTTATGAATGGCATCTATCACTGTTTCCACACAAACTATGTTGTTTCCAAGTAAAAGATAAAAACATGCCGATTAAAAAAATATGTACATTTTTCCACAAGAGGAGATGCCACAAACTTAGAAAGATTACTTATTTGAATTAACTATGCACTTCTAAAATATTTATCTTACCATTTGATAAACAGATTTTGTCAGCCTTTAGAATAAATAGCCTGAATAAAACAACTTAAAAAAAACCACGAGTACTGTTATTTTGGCCAGAGAATAATATTAATACATATTCGCATTAAAAATATCTTTTTATTCTTAATCAAAAATATCAATTTATTCTTCAACAGTAAAGCTGGGTAAACAACTTCTACATTTTAAAAACACCAACAGGCCATCATGTGTGAGGAGGCAATTCTCACTAAACTATTAAATGTAATGCATGAATAGGAAGTTCACTAAACTGAAGTTGTTTCAGTTTTATGGAAGAGTATTCTCAGAGAATTAAATGTAACCTTAAATTCTGCGCTTGCAATCTGTTAAAAAAAATTCTGCTTAGCATCTATATATGCAAACACTGACTTGGTGACAGCATCATTAAACCTACTTTAATTGTATTGTAACAAGTTTGTTTTTACAGAAAGGGCTTATGAGCAACGCAATATTTTAGATTTTTTTTGTTGTTGCTGTTTGGGGTTTTTGTTTGTTTGTTTCAATTATTACTTCTTTATTTTAAAGTTGGAGGGAGAGGAAGGAAGAAAGAACAACCTAATTAATTAGTCTTCTGCCACTTCAGGGCAATAACTGTATGTTTTTCCATATATCTGTTTGCACATCCATGGTTTCCTTAACCAGTTTTGAGTTCTCCTGCCTGACTCATCCACACTGGATACTGGTACAGGATACATCTTTTTAAAAGAATGCTTACACGAGACGTGGGTGAAGCGAGGCAGAATAAGGAACGTTTCTTGTTGATAGCTGGGGGTGGTGAGGCGTCAGTGGAAGAAAATATTACTCATAAGTCAACTTGGCAACTTCCCAAGCTGAACTACTGAAGGTGCATTAGAGAATGTATTTTGCTAGGCAAGAAATAAGCCTCACTGTTTAAAAATACAGTATTAAATAGGAAGTAGGCATGTTTGTACAATAAAGATACTCCTGCTCCAGAGAACAAACAAAAATGTTTGGAAGATATTTAACATACGAGTTTTTTTCAAAGCTTTCTTGAAATTCCAGAGGGTATTTTCTTGCTGCAGGGAGAAGCAGGACCTGAAGGCATTGGAAACCTCTCTGCAAACTGAAAGGGGGAGTGAAAGAAAGAGAGCTTTTTTCCTAGAACAGTTTAATAACAGAAAATCTCCTGGAAGTGAACCAACCAGAACTGTTTTGTTAACCCAACTGGGTTATGTACTGCAGCTACAACACACACACTGGAAGTAATTTTTAGATGCTGAAGCCCTGAAGTTAAGGAGTGGCATTTATTTCATACCACGGGGCTAAAATGTCTTGGAAATCCTTTCAGGCTGACAAGTTTGTACACAAGATTAACAGGAGGCAAAAAACACATGAAAAAAGATTTTAATTGGAACGATACCACACCAGCTGAGATGGCTGCAGGTCTGTAGAGCTCGAGAGAGAAAATCCTGTTTTCTCCACGTAACAACCTCTCTTTAGGACTATAAAATCATGCCTGAATTATAACACCATTTGTTTCCTATGCACAGCAACAGTTCGAAGCACTGTTGCAGATGAGGCAACAAAGCTCAGCTTCCAGCACAACATTGACATTGCTTCCACCTGAGCCTGACTCCTGCCAGGAGCTCTGCACCTCAAGAGCCAACCTGGGACTCAGAACAATTGTGGGAACGTCTCATCCTCGAGGTTTCTGCCTTCAAGGATTTCCTCCATGTTGCAAGGACACAATATGTGCCTCCCCTCCGCCCAGCCTGGCCTTTTCATCTCCTCCACACATGGAAACATCAAAACAACCCACACGGCCAAGTCAACAGCAGATGTGCTGCAATAAACACTACAGCACACGCTCCATGTGCACCCAGGGCTCCACCTGGAATGCACGGCTCATGGACTCCAATTCCCCAATCCCACGGACAGGGGAAGGAGCTATGGCCAGAGCCTTGGAGGGAACTAATTTTGTGGACTTACTCTCTACACTCCCAAGTTTTACCCACAACTCTCTCAACAACTACGGGAAGCCACAAAGTTTCTTAGCAAAGGCTGAGCTTATGCAGAGATGCCTCAAGCTATTTTCTTACAGATCCTTGCTTATGGAAAAAAGAGGAGCACCAATGAAGCTAGAGCCCAAGATGCAAAGAGAAGGCTGAATCCATGTGAGTTGTTGATCTCATGCACTGTTCTGGATCTAACAAAATAAATATTTATGTAGGGACCACCCTTACGCAAAGCAGCTCCTAAGGAGTGGCAGTAATGACTGTACTGACTTCTAGCCATGCTGGCAAAAATATTTATGTTAACCGTATGCTTTTTGAGAGAGCAGGTCTCTTGTCTCTCTGTCTTCAGGACAGGCAGCCTCTCTTTCTGCACACAGATGCAGATGACAAACATTCACAATCTGTTTGCTCCCCCAGTTGTCTCCAAGTGACATTATCTTGGCCACAAGATAATTGGATTTTGCCAAACTTGAACAGCGATAAGAGTCAGTGAGGGAAAAATGTCATGCAATAGTCAAGCAACCTCCCTCAACATGGTATTTTATTTTTAAGTTCAGATTCCTCCAGAAGAGGAGGAAAAAACTACATGGATATACTCTACTTGCATACCTATCCAGGAAAGAACACGCATTTCATATACCAGTGCAGCACTTCTGCCACAACAGCACTGAAATTTTAGAACAAACGAAAAAGCCAAGAAAATGACAATTGCTTTAAGTCAAAGCTTTAGGATACTTCCTATCCACAATCAGACTAGTCTGACCTGATCTGTTCTTCTGTAAAGAATGAATATTGACTGGTAAGTCAGGCCTGTGTGCAGGAGGACAGCACCCAGATGGTGGAAATCAACAGTGTAATTCCCCTGCAACTCACACAGCCTAGGCTACTTTAGGGTCTCAGAGAATTGTATATGATTTTGATTTTAGGGAAATGCTTTAAAAAGGGACTCCACATCACCTGTACAAAGTAAGACAGAACATACCTACCACAAGTAAAGCAGTTCAGTGGTTTCTCTGCATGCACAGGGCTGTGTTGCTACAGAGATGCCAACATAGTCCAAGGAAAGCACAGTTGTATGAGCCATTTCCATGCACTGCTGAACCTCAGCCATTTATTGCCAGCTGAGTAAGGACTCCTGTAGCATTAACTCCACCCCTCCTGGGCTGTGCTCTATTCAGACTACCCCACAAAAATAAAATTTAAATGCTTGCTGTCTCAAGCTTGACTCGATAAGAGATGATTACTCGAGGAGGTATCTGTTCTTTCATAGATGATGGACTCCATCAGTGGCACCAGAAAAGGTGACACATCTTCCCTGTTCTCCCCTTTGCCTACAGAAAAACATGCAGTAGACCAACAGCTTCCAGGACTGAAATCCAGCACCTGGACCAACAACTTTCCCCTGAATGAACAAATCTGTACCACTGGATTTACTATTTAAGTGCCATGTACATCCAATGCCACAATTAGCATATTACTTCTCACAGGTTTCAATCCTAGAGCTGATTTTGAAAAATGCAAGAGGAGGGGCTTATAAGTGCATCAGTTTGTCACAGTGCACAATGTCCAACATGCCAGTGAAACCACTGGAGTTCTGTTTGAAAAAGTAAAAATCAGAAATCTCGTTCTTGCACCCCTATTTTACAACTCCACAGACTGTGGTGGGGCTGGAAGAAGCAGCAATTTCTTTTTTTTACATTTAAAGCAAAGGCGGTGCAGAACCAAGAAAGAAGATGGTTCAGCCTACAGTCAGTCTTCCTTCCACAGGATAGATCTGTGAATCTGGCAACAGTTTTTATTTGTAACCCAGACAAATTTTAAACAGAAGTCAGCGAAATGAAGTAAACATGGAAATGCTTGAGGGCACTTGTCTGAAAGAGATGCTTCTTTCAGGCTGTGACCATGCATTTACAGTAAGCACACTTGCATGTTACTGCCATATGATGTTGGTGCTCTCTGTTACTGCATTTCCAATCTACAAAGAGTCAGTAGGAAACAGCTGCTTTTAAAGAAGCTGCAGCTGACCACATGAAGCCTCCCTCCTTTTTCAGTCAGGAGTCAAGAAGCATGCTCTGTTTACCATTACTAAAAAAAAATACTTGGTAGCTACCAGCACTGCTTGTCATTTTGCTAGAAAAGGCCCTTTTGTTCTGCTGCACACCACATCTCTTAACTGCTACTCTAAGAAGAGCAACCTGGTCTCACTCTGTTTCTTTCACTGTACAGACATGCAGTGAGTCAAAAGCAGCATGTGAATTTAACATCCATTTCCTACCAGTCCACCTCATAAGTATTTGGGTTGGTTTTTAGGCATCTTTTAATTCACTGTGCAAACCTGATGTTATAGAGAGCATCAGGCATCAACTCCTGACACTCTGCTTGAGATTTAAGGAACTGGACAAACTGAAAGTTAAGGGGATCACCTCAGACAGGCATAATCCTTGGCTTGAAAAAGTTTCAATTAAAAAAAAAAAGAAACATGCCCATATAAATATGCACTTGGTATTCCCTGTAAAATGGTTGTTAATCTGCACTTACATGGGTAGGAGACCAAACCAACCTCTCTAAAGCGGCACAACATAAAATACCAGTTATTTGTATCATTACAGGATGCAGTTTCAGGACTGTTTTTTGAACACTCTAAAGCAGACAGAGGACACAGGACTCGTACCTGTATCAGGCATTTGCTGACGTCGCTGGCACAGAGAGCCTTGTTGCAGCCTGTTGATGGTGGGATCCACAGCAGGAACAGAAGGACAGTGACTGTGGGTGCCGTGATGTACTGTGACCTCATGTTTCCTGCAGCTGAGCAATTTTCACAAGGACTTCAACCAGCACTGCAACAAGAACCAGCGACTGAAAAGGCTATTGAAACACAAGTTAAATTCTATTCCATTCCCCCCTTGCAATTCCTTCAATAAATATCAATATTTTTTTAAAAATTCCAATTGGGGTATTTAACAACAAACCCAGCCCCTCCTCCTCCAGCTAACTTGTTTATACAAAGCTTTCTGCTGTCGCACCTTTGGATTAAAACGGCGATAAGCCTGGGGTGAGCAATCTCAAGTTTGCAGTATCAAATATGACATCCTATAAGCAGCAATGATTAAAAAAATGCCTCGGGTGAGAAAACCCACCACAGGAGACCTAATTTTGTAAATGCCCAAAGTAGACAGATGGGTTTTGTGTAGTATCTTCTCAGGCTAAGGTACATACAGGTCTGTAGGACCAAGGCCATACAGCAACCTTTTACAACAAGCTGCCCCTGTCATCTTTAATGCAGACAGGCAGTTGTTTTCACATGGATCCTTAGATGTCACACAGGCTTTGAACCCAAACACAAAGTTGTTAAGTTCTTTCTTAAAAATATAGACAACAACATAAAAAAAAAGTACCAGACACTTTGAACAACGTAACTTCCAAGAGCCAAGCAAGTGTCTGAGGTCAACCAGAGACGACAAGCATCTGCTACATCAAAGAGACAAGGAAACCGGGTTTGTTCAAAGCATTCCACCTTTCTCCCTTTGTGAAAACCCAGCCTGTCGGCAGGTGGTATTTGCGACAAATATATCACGATTAGCAGCGTGCCACTCCGTTTTCACTTGTGCTTCGCATATGAACCCGGCCAAAAGAGGACCTATTGCACCAGGCACTGTACCAATACATAATAAAAGGCAGCCCATGTTTGGGCAAGCTTACAGTGAGCCTGTATTGTTCTCCTAAGAGAGAAAGAATGCTAATGGAGCACTGGATTGCTTTCTTTTGGTATCTAGAAATGTTTTCCTGCTTTATGAACTACAAAACCCAACACCCTCAATGAGCAAAGAAGTGGAAAATACATAAAGAAGGCACGATCTGGACATTGAAAGTCTGCGTCCGATTAGTCCTTCTTACAATGGTTGTTAAATGCCTCTGAATCTCACTGTGCTGGGCACGCCGCCATCTGTACCAAGCAGGGCTGGGGAGACCCCCCTGCAAGACCCGGGGGCACGCACGGAGAACTCGGGATTTTTCCCTCACCGCTTTCCCTCCCTGCTCTCCGGAGCCCAGAGCGCTTCCCTCCCGCAGCTCCAGCTGCCGGCCCGGACCCGGCGGGTGCCGCATCCCGGGCGCGGGAGCCCAGGCGAGCACGCCGCCTGCGAGGGGAGCGATCCGGCCGTGCTCCCTCCCGCCCGGCTCGCTCCCGGGGCTGCCTCACACCGAGGGTCCCGAGCCCGGGGCCGAGCGGCGCCGTCTCCAGGCGAACCCCTCGGATGCGCAGCGGGGTCCGGGCGCCCCTTCCTGGCCTCCCCCCGCCGCTCCCGTTCCGATTCACCGACCGCTGCTTTCCCGGACTTTTTATCCGGCGTGGAGCAGGACCCCCGCCCGCCGCCCCTCCTCTCCCACAGCCCACCCCGGCCGCACCGGCTCAGCATCGCTCCCCCGCCCCGCCGAGATCGCACCCGCGGCGGAAAACACCCCAAAAAACCGCTCCGGCCGATCGACCCGCCGCAGCTCCCGAGAGGCCCGGGCCCCAAAGATGGCACTGCCAGGGGCCGGGAGGCCGGTGACAGGGAGGGAGATGTGGGAGAACACCCCCTCGCCGAAGCGGCCCGGGGCAGGCGGGGCCCCGTACGGGGAGCGGGTCTCCTCCTCCGGCAGGCACGCAGGCAGCGGGGCGGCCGCGCAGAGCCGCACCGAAACTTTCCTGCCACAAAGAAACAGCCACGGCTCCGCCGCCTTCTCCGCCTCCTCCTCGCCAGGCACCGGCTCCATCCCTGCGCGTCCCCCGCCCGCTCCCCCCGCGGCGCTCACCGGGCGGCCCCGGGCCGGGCACCCCGCGCTCCGCGGGCGGCTCTCGCTGCTCCGGAGGCGGCGGCGGCAGCAACCCCGCGCCTCGTCCCACTGCTCCCCCCTCGGCCGCAGGCAGCGCGGAGGCGGCGGCCTCGCATCATCGCCCCGCCTCGGGGCACCGTCAGGCGCCGGGACCCTCCCCCCGGGACCCTCCGCCCCGGCGGGCGGCGGCTGCGCGGAGCGGGGCGGGAGGAGGAGGCAGGGACCGGTGGATGGGAGCTGCCGCCGGACCGTGCCTAGCGGGACGGGACAGGGGACACAGCCAAGCCACTGCTTCTGGAGGGGTTTCCTCAGGGGAGAACGAAGGAATATCCCCCCGCAACCCGAGTGCGAGCAGGGGGAAACTCGGGGGTTCTGCGGGCAGGAAAGGCAGCCCGGGGAAGCCAGGGCGGGAGGAGCGGGGCTGCGGGGAGCACAGGGCGGCCGGGGCAGCGCTGCCGTGCCGGAGGGAGCCGGGAGAAAAGGAACCAGGGGGCAGCGCTGCTGGAAGCGCCAGCGGGGAAGGCGATGAACTTCCCCGAAGGCTGGGAAGGTGCAGGTGCCCGGGGAAGGGCAGGGGTCGCCTGCTTTGCGAAGGGACCCTGGGTTTCCGGACAGCCTCTCCCAGGACCTCTAAAACACTGCTGGGCGGTGGCTTTATCCTCCCACGTGCCAAGTTCCGAGGGACCAAGGTAACAAATTTGGGCCCTAGAAGAAGAAGAAGAGGATCCTGACTGGGTACCCAGAAACTTAGAGTAGCTCCTCTCGGGCTTCCCAGGAGGCAGCTGGACCCTGGCGAGGAAATAGGGCCATCACGCCAAAGAGTTAGTACCGTATTTCGTCTCATCCCTTCTTCCCAGCTCCTGCCACTCTTCTGAGGGAAATCTGAGCCCGGTGTCCTTAAACAACACCTGATGTACCATCCCACAGAGTAAACTCAGGAAAAAAAAAAAAAAAAAAAGACCGGAACTAACCCTGGATTCAAATCAGAGAAGCCAAGAGATTATTAGCTATGGGACTGAAACATTTGGAGCAATTAAACTTACTAAGAAGTTGCGATTGTAAAAACTCTATTGCACAGACTGATACCGGGAAATCGTTTCTCCTTATAAAGACACAGGCTAATGCTAAGAAACATCTGTCTTCAGATCTCTTTACAAGATACTGCCAAAATATTTTTTCTTGTCTCCTGCATACCAAGTACTTTTGTCACACACTTCTTTTCTAACAGAGCCTGCAACCCACTTTATTTTCTGTTCTTTTTGCTAGCCTCTTAATTACTCCAATCTCCTATTTCTGCAACTTCCACTCATGTCTGTTACTTTTTACTGCTCTAGTATCTGATAGAAGTAACTTGTACCCACTTACTAGTTAACACTTTGCAGCTTTATCCATTTTTCCTCGTCTTTTCAAGCAGATAATACAGATTTCTGCAGCATTTTAAGATTTTACAGCTATGTTCAGAAGAGTATTTAACTTTGAGAAGAAATCTGCTTTTTCCTCAATAGTTTCCATTCTGAATGAGGTCAGGAAGATATTCCTGTAATAAAAGAAGGAACAACTTCTCCTTCCACAGGTACCTAACAAATTAAAAGTGAAAAAAAAAAAGTTACAGGGTAGGAACTACATATTAATTGGCTTTACTGTGCTTGAGTTACTATTTGTTCTAAACTGGCACTAGCAGTGGTGTGCAGATGGAAGGAGCCTGCTGTCCAGAGAGCCTCTTGTTCACTCCCCGTTTGCCCTCTGCCCCAGGAAATGCCCCCTGGACATTCACACAAGCACAAGAAGCACAAGGAATAAAGTCTCTGTGGTAGCTCACCTAGTCATTAAAAATAAGTTCAAAGTAAGGATTTTAAATCTCTTATTCTGAGTAACTAGCTGTCCTGCCCAAACCTCGTTTCCTTCAGAAATAATTTCACAGACATCAGATCCCAAGCTCTCTTGAATAATTTATGGCCTGGAGGGTAACAAATCTTTTTCATGAATATCTGTAACCTCCTACTAATAAATAATTAACTGTCTGCTCATTAACAGTACTAAGAATAAAAAAGCATTAAATTTCACAACACAGATAGGTTTTTTTCACTTTTCCATTGAGTCTCCTTATATATTCCAAGAATGCTAAGCTTTGATGTATCAAGTGTTCAAATATTAAGAAATTCCAACTAGTAACATGACCAATAAAATTTATTAAGTATTATATTTACAACTATTTACATATCCCTTCCATAGATTAATATTAAAATAGACAATATACAATTTAAGAATTTTAATTCAAAGGCATTTTGTTGGAAAAAATAGGCTCTATTATGAGACCACCATATAAGAGCAAAAGGGGTTTTTTGTTTTACACAAAAATATTTTCAGTATAGGAAGTAATAGGTATGGCATTACAACAGCAGACTAATATGAAGTATGATTTTGTAAATATTACAACAGTTTAGGTATCAGTTATTGAAGGGAAGGAGTTCAGAGTCCTGTGGAGCATGCAATACAGTTCAATCCTGTTACAGTTATGGTGATGAAACAAGCAGCTAAATCAAACGCATGCCATACAACGAGGAACTGCCAACCAGGAACACACTACACTTAATAAAAACGACAACTTTGGTCCAATAAAACATTAGACAAAAACAGTTTTACAGTTAAAATATCTATTTTATACAGGTTTGAACATTAATTACAAGACTATTTACATTTGCACAATATGTATAAAATAAATTATTTAAAAATGAAGACAATATTACATCTTTTTCCAAAAAGAAATCTGTACAGTAATTTACAAAACATAATAAGATTGATTATTTTCCTCCAAGTCTTCCACAGGCTTTCTCATCATTTTTCTGTGGGAGTTCAACTGTTACTGAAGTTTCATAATACAAAGCTTTATAGCAGATTTTAAGTATCGTTTGCTTTTTGGTGGATGTTTTAGATATTAACAGCTTCCAGCGCTGTAAACTCATCAAGTTTTGTCATACTTTTCAGCAATAAGCTCCAAAGCTACAGGCAATTTTAAAATACAGATAACAGCAGTTACTGGGAATTTAAAATTTAAAATTAGCATCCATCTTTTGTTTTTGAACAAGTGCCACACTTCTCCGTAGGAACACTTGAATTATTGAGAAAGGTAGTATTCCCCAGAATTAAGTGCTCTGTCTCAACAGAAAAATACCTTTGTGCATCACTGCACCTCAGGCTCTAGCCGTCCACAGGGAGGGGGAGAGCCAGACGGTGCTGGTTGTCATATGGGTGTCAATTCAAAGTCATCATTAACATCAACAAGAGGAACATAGAACTCCTGAATTTCATAAATGCTGATAGATTTGTAGGTAGCAGGATCAAGCTCTTGCAGTTTTAGCTGCCACTCCAGTCTCTGCACTGCATTCAGTGCTGCTGCTTCGTGCTGCTGCCTCATCAAAAGGCACGTCTGGTTTAAAATAAAGAAAGAAGTTATTGAAGTATTTGAAAAAATACTATTGCAACAAGTTTGAACACAGGAAATATCTCTAAGAGCCTCTCTGGTGCTAGTAAATAATTCTCTCAGTATATATTTAGAAATTTGCTAAATATTCCATTACACTACACAGCAACGAAAGTTAGGTTTTTTATGTGCTGATAGACCTTCCTTTGTGTTGCCTCCACAAAAGCCCATGATACTGCACATAAATCTACTATTTATTAATCTCATCTTCATAATGACATTAATTTTGGTTTGCTTTTTTTTAAAGTGGAAAGACACAGGAGTGTACCTTTAATTTGTCAAACTTATCATCGACGTCCTGCAGCCATGACATGAACTGTCTTGCATTAAATCGATCCCTCACCGATGTCTTGCTGTCATCAGTCTGAAAAAAAAAAAATTACTCAAACTCGATGATTCAATTTTTAAACATACTTTAAAACATAAAACCCACTCTGTGGGAGATAAAAAATAATCCCACAAACACTACCTCCCATGGAAAAGCAGATTCAAAGTATAAAGGCATATAAATGTTGACCAACACTTCCACTGTGAGCCAGCTGCTCACTAAAAATGGGTATTTTCACATTCCCTCAAGCTATTTACTGTGCTCTGGTTTTAAAATTTAGAGTGGGAAGCTTAAAGATTTATACCCTGAAGTCTTAACTAATAAAAGGCAGATCCTTCCACTAAAAATTACTGTCTCTTTTTTTTCTCTTTAAAATTCAGTAACAAATCAAATCAATATCCCTGAGGGAAAAGCAAAAACTTTAATAAAGGAAAACTTAAGCAGCCTGATTTAAGTGACTACACAAGTATTGAATGCAATTAAAAAATATTTTTGCCATCACAATAACCAAAAGGAGATTAAAAAAATTGAGCAGACCTGTCTTACGTCTTGCTTAATGAAATAGTTGGTTTTTTTGTTTTTTTTTAAATTTCGACTATTTCCTAAGGATTTGGAATGTCACATCTGCCCACTGTGAGAAACTAGATATACTCTATATATAGTCCTAAAGCCAGACTATGCCAATCTAACATTTAAATAATAACCACTAAATACAACAAGCTGCTGTTCCTCTTTCAGAGAGAGAAGAAGACACTGCAGGAATTTGTACACTGCAGCAGAAGGAACAAAAAGAAGCCCAACCAAAATGTGCAAAGACTGACCTTTCTAGAGAA